TTTCCTGTACCTTGGGTGTGACCACCTCCCTGTAACTCCTCTCTATCACCCCCTCAGCCTCCCGAATGATCCGGAGTTCATCCAGCTCCAGCTCCAGTTCCCTAACATGGTTTTTGAGGAGCTGGAGTTGGGTGCACTTCTCGCAGGTAAAGTCAGAGGGGACACCAGCAGTGACCCTTACCTCCCACATCCTGCAAGAGGAGCACGCAACTGCCCTAGCTTCCATTCCCTCTACTCAAGATTTCCAGAAGAAGAATAAAAAAAAAGCCTTACCGAACCTCCACACAGTCTTTTTTGGTTAGAGGAGGAGGATGGGTGGGAGACACTACACGTGTAGTGTTTCAGGTTTAGCCAATGCCTGAATTTATCTGTTTCTTCCTGGCTCGTGTTCTCTCCACACACCCACCGCTGAAAACAAGAGGGCCGCTTGCTGCACGAGGTAAGTTTTTATACAGGGAGAAACAAAAACCGCCTTACCTTCCCGTCGGCACTCTGGCTCGCACTGCTGCCGCTTTTGTAACTGTACACATCTTAATTTCTAACTGATTTCGGGAGTATAATTGACTATAATGTTTTTTGGGGTCTCTGGGGTGTCATTTTTAGATACTTTGGAGTCCCTGGCTACAGCTAAGTAATAAAGGCCATTTCAACACTCTGCAGATCCATGTCTGGTCCCTCTCCACAGATAAGGGTCAGATGATAGCAGGACTACTATCAAACCCTGGAAATTAGACACAATCTGGATTTAGTTTTGAAAAAAATGAAGGTGGGCAAGTGGGTGAAGTCATAGTTTATAGATCATATCAGGGATAGTGGCCACAATTCAGTTAGATTTAATATTATTATGGAAAGGGACAGAGATAAATCAGGGGTAGAAGTTTTAAACTGGGGGAAGGCAAGTTTTACTAAACTGAGAAGTGATTTGGCTGAGGTGGACTGGACAGGACTGCTAAAGAATAAATCAGTAGTAATTCAGTGGGAGGCACTAAAAAGTGAGATCCTTAGGAACAAAGCAGACATTGCTTCTCCAAAAATATGAATAGTACTGCCAATTCTGGACCCCCATGGTTGTCTAGAAAAATACAAGGGAAGATTAAACAGAAAAAAAAACTCGACACTGCTGATAGCCTAGAGTAGTATAGGGAGTACAGGAATCAAGTTTAAAAAAAAAGGAAGAAGAAAATCAAAGAAAGGGCATGACAAAATATTTGTACACAAGGGAAAGGAAAACCCAAAGATGTTTTACTATAATATAAAGAGCAAAAGCATAAGTAAGGGAAAAGTGGGACCCATCAGAGATGAAGGGAACCTGTTTGAAGAAACAGAGGATATAGGACGAATTTTAAATGATTTTTTTTGTTTCTGTATTTATAAAGAAAGGGGATGATGTGGATATAGCAGTCCAAGAGGAGCAGTGTGAAGTATTAGACAAAATAATCATGAGAGAGGAAGTGTTAGAGGAGTTGAATCCTGTAGATTGAAAATGGAAAAGTTGCCAGTGCCGGATGGATTATTATCTAGGATGTTGAAAGTGGTCAGGGAGGAAACAGCAGATGCTTTGAGGATTATTTTCCAATCTTCACCAGACACAGATGAGGTACTAGAGGACTGGAGGAATGCATATGTGGTTTTGTTGTTTAAAAAGGGTACAAAGGAAATGCCAAACAATTATAGACCAGTAGAGTTACATTGGTGGTGGGCAAATTGTTCATTTATCTCATCTTTAAGAATTCATTTCGTCACTTAGAAAGGCATGGACTAGTCAGGAATAGTCAGCATGTCTCTGTTAAGGGAAGGTCGTGCCTTACAAATATAATTGAATTCTTGGAGTAAGTGACAAGGAGGATTGATGAGAGTAGTGCAGTGGATGTTTACAAGGCAAAGACTGGCCAAAAAAGTAAAAGGGATACATGGCAATGTGTCAAATTGGATCTAAAGTTGGCCTGGTGATGGGAAACAAAGGGCAACGGTTGATATAAAAACAGAAATTGCTGGAAAGATACAGCAGGTCTGGCAGTATCTGTGGAGGGAAAGCAGAGTTAACATTTAAGGTCCAATGACCCTTCTTCAGAACTGGCAATGGTCGATGGCTGCACTTGTAAATGGAATGTGGCTTCAAGTTGTGTTTGATGTTAAGACCCCTGCTATTTGTTTTATATAACAACGGTTTGGACTTGAACATGAGGGACAATTGGGAAGTTTGCAAACAACAGAAAAATTGGCTGCATAGTGGATAGTGTAGAATGTAGCTCTAAGCTCCATATGATATAGATACACCAGTGGATTGGGCAGGTAAGAGGCAGATGGAGTTCAACTCTGATAAGTGTGAGGTCATGCATTCAGGGAGTTCAAAGTAAGAAGGAATACACATACAAAGATGTTGCCAGGATTGGAGGGTTTGAGCTTTATGGAGTGGCTGAATAGGCTGGGGCTATTTTCCCTGAAGCATCAGAGGCTAAGGGGTGAACTTAGAGGTTTATAAAATCTTGAGGGGCATGGATAGGGTAAAGAGACAAGATCTTTTCCCCAGGGTGGGGAAAACTAGAGGGTATAGGTTTAAGGCGAGGGGAAAGATGTAAAAAGATCCTAAGGGGCAACTTCTTCATGTAGAGAGAGGGTGTTGCATGTATGGAATGAGATGCCAGAGGAAGTGGAGGAGGCTGGTACAATTTCAACATTTAAAAGGCATCTGGATAAGTATATGAACAGGAAGGGTTTAAGAGGGATATGGGCCAAATGTTGGCAAATGGGACTAGATTTATCTAGGATATCTGGTTGGCATGGATGAGTTGGACCAAAGGGTCTATTTCTGTGCTGTATATCTCCATGACTAATAAACGGGAACATAGTGAGAAGAGTAGATGAAATGACAGATCTCGGCGTCAAGTGCACAGGTCCCTAAAAGTAGCAATACAGGTAGATAAGGTTGTAAAGGCGACATACAGAATGCTGTTCTGCATTGGCAGAGGCATATAATATAAAAGTAGGGATATAATGATGAAACTGTATAAGACATTGGTGAGGCCACAACTGGAGTACTGTGTGAAGTTCTGGTCACCACATTACATGAAGGAGATAATTGCTCTGGAGACAGTGCAGAGACAGTTTACTAGAATGTTGCCAGGATTGGAGAAGTGTAGCTATGAAGAGAGATTGGAGGGGTTGGGCTTGTCTTCCTTGGAACAGAAAAGGCCGAGGGGTGACATGATTGAGGTAGAGTAGACAGAGGTAGAGGTAGAGTAGATAGGAGGAACCCGTTTCCCTTGGCAGAGAGTTCAAAGACCAGGGATTATAAATTCAAGTTAAGTGGCAGAAAGATTAGTGTGGACATAAGGAAAAACTTGTTTAATGCAGAGGGTGGAGGGTGTCTGGAACTCTCTGCCTGAGTTGGTGGTAAAGGCAGAGACCTTAAACTCTGGTAGCAAATACCTGGATCTGCACCTTAAGTGCTATAAGCTACAGGGGTGTGGACAGTATGGGCCAAATGGCCCCCTTCTGTGCTGTATCATTTCTGTGGTTCTATAGGAAATATTAGGGCAGGTGGCCAAAGGCCTTCTCAAAGAGGAATCCATGTATTAACAGTAGAAATCAATTGTTTTACGACATACACACTCACGTGAAGAAAGTGATATAAAATGAACCCAACAGAAAGTTCTGAGGAAAGGTCACCGGACTCGAAACGTTAACTCTGATTTTCTCTTCACAGATGTTGCCAGACCTGCTGAGCTTTTCCAGCAACTTCTGTTTTTGTTCCTGATTTACAGCATCCGCAGTTCTTTTGGTTTTTAGAAAGAATGAGGGTTAGGAAAAGGAAAGGGAAAGAAGAGTCAGGAATCCGTCAGTTGGTCTAAAGTCAGAATGTTGTTGATTTTAGTCTTACTCCCAAGACTTAGTGCTCCATTCTAGAATAACACACATAGACTATCTGGTCATTATTGTGTTGAAGTTTGAGGTAGTTTGCTGTGCACAAATTGTGTTATTTGTGCTATTTTAAAACAGTGACCACATTTCAACAGTACTACTTTGGTAGTCTAGTAATCATGAAGGGGACTGTACAAATGTAAGTTTTTCTGGTTTTCTTAAAATACACACACAGTTGTAGTCTAACAGATTAGAAGGCCACCTCTGATATTTTGTCAATTGGGACAGAAAAGTTAAAGTTCAATGATGTTAATTATTTTGTTTTGTGTATTACATTTGAAATCTTAAAAGCCTGAAAGATGTTTAAAAACACTGATTACATTTGCATAGTTACCTTACCAGATGAGTCATGGTCCTATTCAATGGCAGAGCTGGCTTGACAGGCTGAAGGGTTATTCTTGTTCCTATTTCTAATAGCTTTATGCGGTTCTAGCAACTGACAGCTAATTCTAAGTTCATAAGCCGCTATTTTAACCACTAGTTTGTGCACTTTTCTGATTGCTTTCTCTGCCCTTGAATGTTAGTTGCTGGACAATATAACTAATATAGCTTGTGGACTAATTCTTTTTTCTTATTACTTTAAATTATCAGAAACAAACAGAAGTTACTGTGAACAAAAGTACAGAATGACATGGATAGATTTAGAACTGACTAGATTTCCAGGAGCCAATCATCAGAAATTTCTGTGTGTAAATCAGGAACAGTGCAAAGGAAAATGAGCACAAGGGGATGAAAAAAGTTGTATCACAGGGCCATATACATCCAGCTGAAATGGCAAATAGAATATTGGTTTGATACCTCATGTGAAAGACAATAACTGATATTGCTGCAGTCCCTCAGTGCTGCAGGTCAGGTTTACACAGTGGGACTGGAATCCATGTCATTCTATTTCAAGAGGGGAGGCTGCATACTTAACTAATACTGACACTTAGCAAAACTGTTTGAAAGTAGAACCGAATGCAACCAGAAAAAGATGTTGCTATGAAGCAGAATATTTTTTGACCTGGTGAGGAACCTTGTTTATTGTTTAACTGCTAGTAAATGGTGGATGATTTCAAGGTTTAACAAGAACTTCTTACAAAATCATCTTTTGCTCCTAGTCTTCTCTCCCTCTCTTTTTCCAATAATCCCTCCAGGATAGAACAGGCCTCATCACTTGCTCCAGGCCTCAGCTGCAAAGGCTTGTGAAGGATGTATTCATACATCTCAGCAGTATCACGACTGTAGAAAGGAGGCTGCAAAAACAAACATATTGATTTTGCTGACTTACTTATTTTAGTTTTGATTATTTCATAATTATCCATTTATAACAAATAACTTCCTTCTCACAGATAGCCATGTACTCTCAGGGCTCTATACAAAATATCTGGTCAATGGTTTCCTGCTTTCTGCCTCCCGCTTTTGTGTAGAATGTCTTTAAATTATCATTTTCCAATCTACTGGAATCCTTGATATAGGCCTTCAGACCTGGCGACTTGCCTGCTTTTAATCCCAATAGTCTGCTCGATACTTTTTCTGTGGTGTTGACCGTTGTTTTAGGTTTCTCCTTTTCTATAATCTCTCCATTACACATTATTATTGGGATGGTTTCAGCATCAATGAAACTGAGGCAAAACATTGATTTTGTGTCTCTGCTATTTCTGTGTCCCCCATTAATAACTCCCCAGTCACATCCTGGAAGAGACTAAAATTCACTTTAGTTACTGTTTTCCTTTTTATTTATTTTATTTTATTTTAAAAAAATTTATTTATAGAAACTCTTGTTACTGGTGTTTATATTTTGCGCTGGTTGAGACCAAAAGACAACAGAGGGTGCTGCTGAAAAGGATTCTGGGAGGAGTCATCTTAGTCACTGCCCAGGAGTGACTAAAAGGAAGGCAAGTTATAACACTGCGGCCATTTTGAGAAGGGCAGCTTTGTGGTTGAAGTATTGCTGGGTGTTTAAGTGTAAGCTTTTAAGTGTCGACTTAAGTGAATACCGGGCTTTGGTGACAAGGGCAAGCAGCAGCGAGGTAAGACAGTCGGAGGAGGAGCAAACTACTGCAGCTGCTCAAGACACGAGGGTAAAGGAGAAGTAGAAGGAAGTTTAACTGTGAAGTCACAGGCAGCAGGTAAGTGAGTGGGTGGTGACTGGGGTGTAGTTTTTCTTCTCTCAATTTCTCTTTGCTTTGCTATTGTTGTTAACTTAAGAGTTAAGTCATGGCAGGAGATCCCAGAACCGGGTCATGCTCCTCCTGCGCAATGTGGGTATTCAGTGGCCCTTACAATGTCATAGACTCCTTCACATTCACGAAGAATGTCCAGCTGCAACTCCTGTCTGGCCACTTGACAGCTCTGGAGCTGCGGCTGGACTCACTTTGGAGCGTCCGCAAGGCTGAGGGAATTGTGAATAGCACATTCAGTAAGTCAGTCACTTCGCAGATAAAAATTACTGAGGAAGACAGGGAATGGGTGACCAACAAACAGAGGATGAGTAGGAAGGTAGTGCAGGGGGCCCCTGTGGTCATCTCCCTCCAAAACATGTATACCATTTTGGATACTGTTGGCAGAGATGGCTCACCAGGGAAGGCAGCAGCAGCTGGGTTCATGGCACCAGGAGGGCAGCAGAAAGAGTGGCAGAGCTATAGTGATAGGGGATTCAATTGTAAGGGGAACAGATAGAGCCCAAGATGGTATGTAGCCTCTCTGGTGCAAGGGTCAAGGATGTCTTATCTTGGGATTGCTATCAGTGCCATATGCTAGTCAGTGTAGGAATGGCAGGGTAGTTAAGATGAATATGTGACTTGAAGGATGGTGCAAGAGGGAGGCATTCAAATTCCTGGGACATTGGAACGGGTTGTGGGGGAGGTGGGACCAATACAAACCTAGACAGGTCTGCACCTAGGCAGGACTGGAACCAAATGTTCTAGGGGGAGTGTTTGCTAGTGCTGTTGGGGAGGGTTTAAACTAAAATGGCAGGGGGATGGGAATGAATGCAGGAAGTCAGAGGGAAGTGAAGTGGGAACAGAAACAAAGTACAGTAAGGGAAAAGTGCAAGTGGAAGGCAGAGAAAAAGGACAGTAAATGTCAAAAAATGAGTTTGAAGGCTCAGTGTCTCAATGTGAGAAGCATTTGTAATAAGGTAGGTGAATTAACTGCGCAAATAGCTATTAATGTATATGATGTAATTGGGATCACAGATACCTGGTTCCAGGGTGACCAAGGATGGGAACTCAATGTCCAGGGTTATTCAATTTTCAGGAAATGGAGGTGGGGTAGCATTGTGGTTTAAGGAGGAGATTAACACAATAATAAGGGAGAACATTAGCCTGGACGATGTGGAATCAGTAAGAGTGGAGCTGCAGAACACCAAAGGGAAAAAGATGTTAGTGGGAGTTGTGAACAGACCACCAAACAGTAGTTGTGATGTGGGAGGCTGTATCAAACAGGAAATTAGAGATGCATGCAGTAAGCGTACAGCAGTATTTATGGGTGACTTCAATCTACATATTGATTAGACTAACCAAACTGGTAGCAATGTGATGGAGGAGGATTTCCTGGAATGTATGAAAGATGGTTACCTCAATCAATATGTTGAGGAACCAACTAGAGAACAAGCCATCCTAGACTGGGTATTGTGTAATAAGAGAGAATTAATTAGTAACATTGTGGTGAGAGATCCTTTGGGGAAGAGTGACCATAATATGGTAGAATTCTTCATTAAAGATGGCGAGTGACACAATTAAATCTGAAACCAGGATCATGAACTTAAAGAAAGCTAATTTTGATAGTATGAGGCTTGCATTGCCTAGGATAAGCTGGCCAAGGATACTTAAAGGGTTGATGATGGATAGGCAATGGCAGACATTTAAAGAACACATGGATGAACTTCAACAACTGTACATTCTTACCTGGCATAAGAGTAAAACAGGGAAGGTGGCTCAACTATGGACAACAAGGGAATTCAGGGTTAGTGTTAAAGCCAAAGAGGAGGCCTGGGAGAAATTTAAAATTCAGCAGAGGAGGACAAAAGGTTTAATTTGGAAAGGGAAAATAGAATATGAAAGTAAACTTACGGAAAATGTAAAAACTAACTGCAAAAGCTTCTATAGATATGTGAAGAGAAAAAGACTGGTGAAGTCAAATGTAGGTCCCTTGCAGTTAGAATTCGATGAATTTATAATGGACAACAGAGAGATGGCAGACCAGTTTAACAAATACTTTGGAACTGTCTTCACTAAGGAGGACACAAATAACCTTCAAGAAATGCTACTGGACATGAAGGAGGAACTGAAGGAAATCCTTATTGGTCAGGAAATGGTATTGGGGAAAATGATGGAATTAAAACCCGATAAAGTCCCCAGGGCCTGATGCTCTGCGTCCCAGAGTACTCAATGAAGTGGCCCCAGAAATAGCGGATACGTTAGTGATCATTTTCCAGCATTCTGTAGATGCTGGAAGAGTTCCAATGGACTGGAGGGTCGGTAATGTAACTTCGCTCTTTAGAAAAACGGGGTGAGAAGACAGAAAATGGGGAATTGCAGGTCAGTTAGCCTGACATCAGTAGTGGGGAAAATGCTGGAGTCAGTTATTAAGGACGTAATAACTGACCATTTGGAAAGCAGTGATGGAATTGGTCCTGATCACATTCACTAAAGGGAAATCATGCTTGACAAATCTTCTGGAATTTTTTGAGGATGTGACCAGTAGAGTTGACAAGTGTAAATCAGTAAATGTTGTTTATCTGGACTTTCAGTAGGCTTTTGACAAGGTTCCACAAAGGAGATTATTTAGGAAAATTACAACTCACGGTATGATAGGTAATGTATTGACATGGATAGAGAACTGGTTGTCAGACAGGAAGCAGAGAGTTGGAATAAACAGGTCTGTTCAGAGTGACAGGCAGTGATGAGTGAGTTGCCGTAAGGTTCAGTGCTGGGACCTCAGCTGTTCACAATATATATTGATGATGTGGACGAAGAAATTGAATGCAATGTCTCTAAATTTGCAAATGACACTAAGCTGGGTGGCAGTGTGTGTGCTGTGAGGAGGATGCTAGGAGGCTACAGGGTGACTTGGACAGACTGGGCAGATACTTGGCAAATGCAATATAATGTGGATAAATGTGACGTTATCCACTTCGGTCACAAAAAACACAGCCCGCAACTTCTTAGCCATGTACATCTTTCATACTACCATTACGATAAAGTCAGGGATCAACACTGGTTCCAAGAATAATGCAGGATGGTATGCCAAGAGCAACCTTACAAAAGCAAAATGAGTGTCAGCATGGTGAAACTACTAAATAGGAATACTTGGAGCAGATGGAGTGGGATGGCCAGTGGGTCCGAAGAAGAGCACAACGGTAGGTGGTCGGAGTCCAGGTGCGGTCGGAGGCAGTGGCCTCGTGGTATTATTGCTGGACTGTTAATCCAGAGACCCAGGTAATGTTCTGGTGACTGGGGTTCGAATCCCACCGTGAAGATGATGGGATTTGAATTCAACAAATATCTGGAATTAAGAATCTAACAATAACCATGAATCCATTGACAATTGTCAAAAAACCCCATCTGGTTCACTAATGTTCTTCAGGGAAGGAAACTGCCATCTTTACCTGGTTTGGACTACATTTGACTCCAGACCCACAGCAATATGGTCGACTTTTAATTACTCTCTGGGCAATTATTGATGGGCTTTAAATGCTGGCCTAGCCAGCGGCGCACTCATCCCATGAATGATTAAAAAGAAGCCTGTTACAGATGGCGGTCATTGGCTTGTGAACCAGGTTGGGGTCAGCCCAGTGCAGGGGAAAGCGAGACCACATGTGGAAAGCCCCACTGTGGAGCGATTGCAGGCAATAGAAGGACTATAATGTCTATCTTTTAACTTTATTTCCTAATTTATACAATGAAGAACTGTAAATATAGAACTTCTAGCTTTTTGCCTTAGTTCTCTATTTTGTACCTAAGATTTGCAACTAGGTACTTGGTACCAAAGAACGTGCCAGGTGTTGCGACATTGTAAACTTTTCACTGTACTCCTGTAGTTTTGTACTGGAGTACACGTGACAACTAAATCTAATTCTAATTCTAAGTAGCCAGTGATAGACAGGACTAATGGATTTCAGAACCAACAGATCAGGTATGTGCTCTGTAGTCCTACTACATCCAGTTGCAAATGGTAATGGACAGTTAACCAACCGAGTGGAGGAAATAGCTCCAAAATATCCCCTTCCTCAGTGAAGGGGGAACCCAGCACAATGTAAAAAATAAGGTTGAAGAATTTGCAACAATCTTCAGTCAGAAGTGCTAAGTGGATGATCTATTTTGGCATCAGAGGTTCCAAGCTTCACAGATAGCAGTCTTCAGTCAATTCAATTCATTCTGCACAATATCAAGAAATGGTTGGAGTCAGAGTCATACAGCACGGAAACAGACCCTTTGGCCCAACGAGTCCGTGTTGAACATAATCCCAAACTAAACTGGTCATAGCTGCCTGCTCCTGGCCCATATCCCTCGAAATCTTTCCTACTCATGTACTTAATTTGTACCCACATCCACCACTTCATTCAACATGTGGACCAGCCTCTGTAAAATATTTGCCCCTCATTCTTCTTTAAATCTCTCTCCTCTCACCTTAAAAATGTGCCCCCTAGTCTTGAAATCCCCTATCCTAGGGAAAAGACACCTACCATTAATCATATCTATATCTCTTATGATTTTATAAACTTAAATAAGGTTGCCTCTCAATCTCCTATGCTCCAGTGAAAGAAGTCCCTGCCTATCTGGCCTTTCTTTATAACTGAAACCTTACATACCCGGCAACATCCTGGTAAATCTCTTCTGAACCCTCTCCACCTTAATATCCTTCCTAAAGCTGGGCGACCAAAATTGGACACAGCATTCTAGAAGAGGCTTCACCAATGTCCTGGACAACATCAACATGACTTCCCAAATCCTATACTGAAAGGATTGAGCAATGAAGGCAAGTGTGCCAAACACCTTTGTAACCACCCTGTCTATGTGTGATGCAAAATTATGACCCTTAGGTCTCTATTCTACAACACTACCCAAGGTCCTATCATGAATTGTATAAGTCCTGCCCTTGTTTGTTGTACCAAAATGCAATACCTGTCAGTTATCCAGATTGAACTTCATCTGCCATTTTTCAGCCCATTGACCTATTTGAACAAGATCCCTTTGTAATCTTAGAAAACCTTCTTCACTGTCTACTGAGCTACCAATTTTGGTGTCGTTTGCAAACTTACTAACCATGCCTTCTATATTCTCATCCAGATTGTTTATATAAATGAAAAAGAAAAGACAACCCAGAACTGATTCCTGTCGAACACTGCTGGTGACAGGCTTCCAGTCCAAAAAACAACCCTTCACCACCACTCTCTGTATCCTGCCATTAAGCCAATTGGCAAGCACCCTGAATCCTATGTGACTTGACTTTACTAATTAGTCTACCTTGCCGAACCTAGTCGAAGGCTTTACTAAAGTTCGCATAAACAACGTCTACTGCTGTGCCCGTTTCAATCTGTTTTTGGCAACTTCCTCAAAAAACTCAATCAAGTTTGAGAGAGACAATTTTCCTCGCACAAAACCATGCTGACTATGCCTAATCAACTTTTGCTTCTCTAATTGTCCATAAATTCTATCTTTTAAAATCACCTTCAACGACTTACCCACCGAGTACGCCAAAGGCTACGGGCCCTGAAAACATTCTGGCTATAATACTCAAGATGTGTGCTCCTGAATTTGCAACATTCCTAGGCAAGCTGTTCCAGTGCTGTAAAGTAATGAATGAGTTAAGTTTTAATGAAAATCTGGCAGTTTTACGATATTTGTTCTAATACGAACCCATTTCATAATGGACTCTAATGGGATTTTAATTCTCAACCTCTGGATTGCTAATCAAATACACTACACTACTGTATCCAAGATGCTGAATAGGCTGACAACAACTGACTTCAGAAGTAAAATGAAAATGTTTTTATACCATTCACAACAATTTTTACAAACATGGTAAACGTTCAATAAAATATGCAATTACATACCAAGCCATAGAGCATTTCAAATAGAACAGAGCCAAGGCACCACCAATCAACTGTGTTATCATAAGGTTGCTTTCTGAGCACTTCTGGTGCAAGGTACTGAAATACAAAGAAATAAACATTTACTATAATGCACCTTAAGAAATAGCTTTAACTTGGCATTGTTGCCTTAGTCAATTGTGCATTTTCTCTGGTTCATGACAAACTTTTTTTGGAATAGGTTGAGCTAATGTCCATTTCCTGCTCTACCTTTCTGGTGAATGATAAAGATACACATGATACTGTTCAGAAATGGGAAGGAGTAAGCAGGCTAAATCTGTCAATATTTCCAAGATCCCACAGTGACCTAAAAATAAGATACGACTGAGCTTCCTGTTGAAACTGAGCTAGGGAGGTTGTGTCTCTCCACTGTTTATAGAGGGAACCTCAAACCAAAATCATTATCAAAGACCCAGTGCACCCCGTTGATGATCTCCTACAACATCTTCCATCAGGCAGAAGATACAGAAACCTGAACACACACACCACCAAATTCAGGAACAGCTTTTTCCTGGCTGCTATTAGACTGATGAATGGATTCTCCAGCCTCAAATAATGCTGATCTTGCTAGCGTTGATCTCACCTAGCACACACCCTGTGCAATGTAACCTGTGTGTCTCTGTCTAAGTCTTTCTGATCTGTACATCCTTGCTTACTATGATCTGCCTGTACTGCTTATAAAGAAAGTTTTTCTCTATGCTTCGGTACATGTGACAATAAATCAAAGCAATTGTCAAAGTCCTTATGAACCAAAAAAATTTCCTCAACTAAATGTTTCATAGGAATTTTAATCTCAAAAGTTGCATATTTTAAAAGATAAGTGTTCCTGAAACTGAAGTGTTTTAAAAACCTGCATACATTGAAACATTGGCATTCATCAATTGTTTAACTAAGGAAAATTACAGGTTACCAAACAGTTCCTTAAAAATTGCCCTCTGTGGCCACATTTGATCTTCATTTCTGCTATCCATTTTGGTTCAATTCATTGGCTGGGATGATGCACCAATTACTTTCTCTTTAGTGCACCAGTCTCCAGAAAAAAGTTGAAAATCCACCTATAAACCTTTGCTCATCCTTGCCCAACAGTTGTCGGCGTGGCCAAGAGATTTGACTGGAGAACACAGCAAAGACAAAAGGAGCAGCAGTGGCCCAAGAACACAGCAGGGATAAATCAGAAAATTACATTACAACACAAAGAGTCACATGAACTAATAAACTTTTAATTTAAATTAATTAACTATAAAGCAAGACTAGATAAGTTGTTATAAAAACCAAAACAGATGTAATAATTTATCCAAGTGTTTCAATAATCAATCAAATCTAAGGGATAAAGTTTAAATAACAAGGGATATAACACTAAAGGGTTCTGAAATTTTCAGTAACTTAAAATCAGAAACGTATAGATAAATGTTTTAGTAAAAGTTAAACTAATCTCCCTGCAAAATAAAGCAACATAGTAAAAGAGAAGCAGTCGATTGTTGAGTAACTGGCAAGTTTTCATTTTTGTCTTTGAGGACATATCTGAAATAAACATAATAGTTTAATAGAAACAGTCGTGACAGAACACATGGGTCCAAGTGTTAACTAGTACGTCCTGCTTCATGTGGGAACTCCAGGATGCTTCTCAGGTCCTGGCAGGAAAGATCATCAGCTGGAACACATCAAACTTCTGATTTTGAAACCCGAGTGGCAGCTGGAATCATTGCTATCCATTTAACAGGCTGAGAATTTTGTGGATAGCATGTTTCCAGATGTGGTCATCCTCTAGCCTCAGAAAATGCAACCTCGGGGGGGTGGGCAGGGGTGATAGCCAGACAGTTGAGTAGGACAAAGCAGGTAACGTACTTGGGAGGCTTGTGCATTATGCTCTCCTATTGGTATCCAGTTTGGAATATTGTGGAGTGTGATGGTTACTCTGAGGTGTGCAGCCAGACCCAAGTCCACGGCAAAATGACAAACCCAGAAGGAAGGTGTTGGGAGTAGGAGGAGGGGGGAGACACAAAGAAGTACAGGGACACAAAGAAGTACAGGGACACAAAGAA